GGCGCTGTGGGCCTCGGCGCCGCTCGTGGGGGTGCCCAGCCCGGGACCCAGGGAGGCAGCGGCACCCAGCCAGGCACCAGCCCCGCGGCGCCCTGGCCCTCGCCGCCGCCCCCGTCCCGTGACACAGACTGATCGACTCCTTTCCTCCCTGGCAGGTCTGTGCAGACTTTCGCAGACAAATCAAAGCAAGAAGCTCTTAAGAACGACCTGGTGGAGGCCTTGAAGAGAAAGCAGCAGTGTTAGAGCTCGGCTCCACGCTCCCTGGACACGCCACGCGCTCGTTAGATTCCTTTCTTAGAGAACTCGTCTTCTGCTCCCTTCCCTCGCCCCTCGCCTCCCCACCGGGTCCCGTAACACTGGCTTCACCGGGCCGCACGGCGCCATCTCTCCCTGAGAATAAAGCCCAGTAAACACCCTCCGTCTCTGAGGCCTCGTTCCCACCACGTTTTGCTATCAGAACTCTCCATATTTCCACAGAGACCGTGTGTTTTCGTTTGCCCCAGCCCCCCGTCTGCCCCCCCCATTTATAGGCATAAAATACACTGTCTGCCTCCCCTTCCCTCCCACCTTTTTGTTACATTGGTGTAAAAAATGTAAAACAAAAAAATTTTATGAACTAACTGTGGTGTGTGAAAGAGAGAAGAAAAACTGGAAATCTGATTCCACGTGTGTTTGGGAGTTGCTTGGGGGTTGGGGCTGGGGGGACAGGGGACAGCTCCGTGAGAAAGGGGGTGGCCCCCCCGCACTGTCCTGCGCGGACGGAACCCTGTCCCACGGAGACCACGTGGTGGGGGCGCGGGGGGGTCCTGCTGACCGTCTGCTCTTCTGGCCAGGTGCTTTTCTGTCAATTTTTATGGAATGCAAAAGGAGTTTTTTGTTTTATTTTGTTTTTTTTGTAAAGCTTAAAGAAAAATCTACATCTTATACTTGAGCTTCCATACTTAAAAAAAAAAAAAAAGAAAAAAAAACAAAAAAATAAACGAACAGAAACTGGGACGCAGTTAGCACTGGCCTTGTCTTCTTTCTCGCCTGCCTCACTTCGCAAGCGTTTGTGGCCTTGGCTGTGAGGGCTGGCCCCAGGGTGGCGGTGCCTCGCACGGTGGACGGGGAGAAGAGGGGCCCTTGGGGGGGCCCGGAGCTGCCGCTTGGCTCCCCAGTCCATACTCCCCAGCCCCACGTGCCCCTGGAGAGCTGGGGGGCCCCCCATGTCATTCCGTCACTCTGGGGGTGGCCTCCCCAGGCCTCTCGTCTTTGCAAACACCCAGTGTGTGCAGGATTCCCACCCTCAGGGACCCACACCCTGGCTCTGGGGTGAGCTCTGCACTCACTTAGCACCCCCGGGACAGGTGGTGGTCGAGCGCGTGAGGGCTCAGGTGGGCAAGCAGGGCTGTCCACGGTCCTTCCGGCCCCTCGCTGTGGTTTTGACAAGCCAGCCCCTTGGAGCCTTTGCTGAGGTCCTTCTGGGGCCCCAGATTCCAAGATTCCCTGTGTCCATACTGTCATTTGTTCGCATCATTGACTAAGTGGCCACTGGGGGGCGTGGGCACTGCGGACTGGGTCTCCCTGGGGCCACCAACTCCCAGTGCAGTCACGTGGGCCCTCCCCCTGGCAGGGCAGTTCGGTTCTCGCAGGAGAGACTGAGAGGAGAGAGTTTCATGCCCACAGGGAAGGTTTCCTACTCCCGGGATCCCGGAGCCGACTTGGCCTCTTGTCTTTCCAGATACCACTGGTTCACCTTTCCCCTCCCCCCGTGAGCCCCGCACAGCCTGCCGACAGCTGTGTGTGTTGCTGGCTTGGCGAGTGGGCTTCCGCTCCTGGCAACCAGCGAACCCTAAGGAAAGAGGGCTCCTGGGGGCCGGCACTGGCACCGACCCATCTACCCCCACTTCACAGGAAGCAGGGGGCAGGATGTGCACCCCCACCTGCTGGCCCTGCTACCCCTGGCTGGCCCCTCCTGCCCGGTTTAGAATTCCAAGAGAAGAGCATCTTTTCCTCCTGTTCTCTTGGTGATGAAGCTTCTAGAGCAAATGCTTCAAAATGTTAAGATTTTATTTATTTAAGAGAGAGCACGAGCCGGGGAGAAAGGAGTAGAGTCCACGCTGAGCCAGGAGCCCCACGCGGGGGGCTCGATCCCACGACCCCGAGATCATGACCTGAGCTGAAACCAAGAGTCGGCCGCTTCACCGACTGAGCACCCCCCGACCAGGTGCCCAAAAGCTTCCAATTTTTTAAAAAGAACTGATCCCTCATTCCAAACAGTAAGTTAAATAAATGTTAAAAATTACCTATCATAGAAGTAAAAATGCTTCATCATTATTTTCTCAGTATAACTAAAATTTGTAAAATCTTCAGAAGGAAAACCAGATTACTTAATCATACCTTGTCAGGTTGTTACTTCAACCAGAACCTACCAGCTTCACTGCAAATATTTGGACTGAGGGCTTTGTCACTGAGTTTGCAATTCTCTTTTCTGCCCTTAGGAAGCAGATGATCTATTAAATGTAATTTCTTTAAAACGAGCTGGTGCTGTTTTTGTTTCATAAAAACTGTGGTTATAATTCGCATCACCAACACTCCACTTTTTAAAAAATGAAGTTCAGAATACAAACTATATAAACTCATAAATTAAGTTTCTAAAATATATAGAAATGTGGTACAAATATTTTTAATGTTTTAACTTTCCATTCTTAAATTATTTTCTGTCTTTCAAAATATTACTTTCGGGGCGCCTGGATGGCTCAGTCGGTGAAGCGTCCCGACTTGATTTCGGCTCGGGTCATGATCTCGAGGTTGTGAGATTGAGCCCTGCATCAGGCTCTGCGCTCAGCAACGGAGTCTGCTTGTCCTTCTGCTTGTCCCTCTCCCTCTGCCCCTCCCCCCACACGAGTGCTCTATTTCTCTCTCTCAAATAAATCTTTAAAAAAAATATTACTTCAGGGGCGCCTGGGTGGCTCAGTTGGTTGGGCGACTGCCTTCGGCTCAGGTCACGATCCTGGAGTCCCGGGATCGAGTCCCGCATCGGGCTCCCTGCTCGGCGGGGAGTCTGCTTCTCCCTCTGACCCTCCCCCGTCTCATGCTCTCTCTCTCTATCTCATTCTCTCTCTCAAATAAATAAATAAAATCTTTAAAAAAAAAATATTACTTCATAGACACACACTCCTACCACTGTTCTCTACCTTTTTTATGCAACTTTTTAAAAAAGATTTTATTTGAGAGAGAGAGAGAGAGAGAGAGCAACAGGAGAGGAAGAAGCGAGCTCCCCGCTGACTAGGGAGCCCAACACATGTCTCTCAGGGCTCCATCCCATGATCCTGGGATCGTGACCTAAGCCGAAGGCAAACGCTTAACCGACTGAGCCACCCAGACGCTCCATCCCTAAAGTTTCTATTTAAGTAATCTCTACACCCAATGTGGGGCTTGAAATCACGACCCCAAGATTGAGTCACACGCTCCACCGACTGAGCCAGCCAGGCGCCCCATTCTTGGGCAATTTTTCAGTGTAAATGTTCAATTAATGCTTCCGAGAATGAACAGACTATTGTCACATACATACAGATCTTTGAACCGGTCCAGTGAACAGAATCCTTCAGTCTTACGCATATTAGGCATTTGGGTCATTTTGTAAGGACTATAAATTAGTAGAAATGTTGCAAGATGTAATATATTCTTATACCCATAACTTCCCATGCGAACTTAATCTCTGATTTGGTCTTTTTCCAAATAGTTTTATTGAGCTAGATCTCATACACCATACATTTTCCCCATGTTGAATGTACAAATTCAGTAGTTGTGTGTGAGTGACACGCCGGTCTCCTTCACCAGATTGAGGGCTCCTTGTGGGACGTTGTTCCGGGCATTCACTCACTCACTCAAACGTCTACTGAGCACCTACTGTGTACTGGGTGAGCAGGACAGAAGTCTGCCCATACTGTGGTGGGGGTGGGGAAGTGCTGATGAATAAAAATAATCTTTACGGAGCACTTCTATGTGCCGGGCACAGAGATCCCAGTGGGTGGCTGTGTCCTCAGGGCTGTCACAGGGCTGGGGGACTGATCAATAGTTTTCAAGTGAATGGAGTCAACTGCAGCAGCAGGCGATCCCCACTCCCCACCACGGGGCTAACACTAACCTGATCAGGTTAGGGTGTGCAAGTTGGGGCAGGTAGTTAGGTCTCAGCACCTGGCTGTCTACCCAGCAGCCTCTGCGGTCCCTCCATTCAGCAACAGTGAAAGCCAAGTCCAACAGCAGAAGAAGTAAAGAGGGGAGGGGAGTGAGCTGTGGGCTGCTCCCCTTTCTCAGCTTTGGGGACTAAAGGCCATGTCCAAGCTGTGGCTTAAGAAGTCTCACGCTTGCTGAATAATCCCGGGCTGGGAGGGCCTGGGGCCACATGCTGAGGACGGACACGCTGGGCCCTTCCTTCCGCTTTGTAGGAGATTGCCACCTGCCCGCCAGCCAGCTTTTCCTGCTCCCCCCAGGATTCGGCGGGGGGACACTGGGACCAGGCGCTGTGTGAGGCGTTTGCGCACCCGGCATCTCATTCAATAGTTAAAATATGAACCGCCAAGGGAGGGCTCTTCAGGGGTGACTGGCCCAGCCTCCTGCTCCCCATGAGTGTCCAGAGGGAGAATCCCTCCCGGACAAGGACAACTGACAAGTGACCAGAGCGGTGCCCCTTTCTTGGCTGAGCCTGGGCCTGAAACCTAGATGCAGACCTCCACTGAGCCTGCGCAAAGTCAGGCGGGAGGACGGGTGTAAGGCGGGGCTCATCCCTTCGGGCCACCCCCCGCCTGCAGCGAGATAAGAGGCGTGCGCCCCGGGGAGGAAGGGGGTCCCCCGGAGCACCTCTCCCCTCCATGAGGCCCCATCAGTGGGGTGGAATGAGCGGATCCGTCAGCTGGGGAGGCCCGGGCCCTGGAGAAGCTAATGCCGCCCGGTGCCGGGCGCTGGGGCACGAGCACTCCTCCTCCTCCTCCTCCTCCTCCTCCATCAGACAGGGCACTGCCCGGGCCCGGGCCCCGGCCATCAGACTGGGGGCTTCCTGAGGAGGAAGCAGCCCACTGGGCAGTGCTGGAAAGCAAGAGCCGGCACCCCACGGACGACCCGGTGCTGCCCGGGGGAAGGGATGAGGTCGCCCCTGTGAGGGCTTCCGAAGGGCAGGGCTGCGCTGCTCCATCTCCTCCCCGCAGCTCTGACTTGCGCCGGCCCTTGGGGCTCTCGCTGCCGTATGAGGGAGCCCCCGGTAACTGGCGTCAAGCGAGGTCACGGCCCTGCGTGGAGCCAGCCACTGCCTGGCAGAGGGCACCTGAACCAGGCCCAGGCCCGAGCCAGCTGGGGCCCGGGGGCACCTTCGCCTGGGACGGGGCCGGCGGCTCGAGGAAGTGGGAAGGGAGCCTGAGCCCCGCAGGATTGGGCCGCCCCTGGGAGCGAGGGGAAGCTGGGCGGCGCGCGGCCCCGATCTCTGGACCCCGAGAGCCCCGGTCCCGGCCAGGTGGGGGACGGTCCCTGCAGCGGAGGGACGGAATGGGGTTTGAAAAGCTGCTCGACCTCGAGCAAGCCGCTCGATCCCTCAGAGCCTGTCTTCCATCTGTCTACTGGCCATCCCAACTGCACCGACCAGCCCAGCACACGGCAAGCGCTCAACAAACATCAGCCCCGTGCAGGGGTACACAGGGCGCTCCGCAGGCATGACCCAGGACGGGCCCGGGGGACACTGGCCCGACTTGGCCTCACTGCCCACTTGTGCCTCAGAGGAGGCTCTCCCTGGTCTGCCGGACCCCAATTCCTGCCTTCTCTCCCCCGACCTGCTGTGCGCCCTGGCCCCGGCCCCACGACCCTGTCTACACTCAGCCTGGCTTTGCAGCGACCCCAGCTCAGGCCCGTGCACACACCCTGGCCCCTTCCTGACGTCCCTCCGCCTTCAGGATTCAGCTCCCGGGCCCCTCCTCCGTGAGGCCTTCCCTGGGGAGTCTCCTCATTCTGATGGCACTTTGTACCTTCTGGTCAAAGCCCTTACCCCCAGGGCCCGGCAGCCAGCTTCCCTCCACGAGGACAAGGACCAGAGCCGGGGTCACCCCCCTCCCGGCGCCCAGCGCAGCCTGGGCTGGTGGAGGCTGCACTCGGCCCATCCACGCGGCACCAGACCGGGCTGCAGGCCCCACTGCCGAGCTCCCCGCCGTCCCCGGGGCAGGTAGAGGAGATTCAGAAAGCCTGAGCCACAGCTTCTCTCCCTGACCAGCCCCTCAGGCACGCACAGGGTCATGGCCAACAAGTGGACTCAGAACGGGGTCAGGGAGACGAAGTGAGGTTGGGGCCCAGGACTGGAACTCAGGGCTGAGCCCTGCCCTCTTCTCCTCCCTTCCCACTGCTCTTGCACCTCCTTCCTCCTGCCTGCCACACCCCCCACCTCTCCTGCCCGGCCTTCTGCATGTCACCTCCTCCAGGAAGGTCTCCCTGATCTGCGGGGAGATCTGGAAGTGCCTCTCCTCCAACTGAAAATTATCAAAGCGAACCTTTATGGCGCGCTTACCACATGCCAGACTTCGGGGCTAACCTCCGCTAATTGCACCATCTTATAACATACATCTCATTTCACAGATGAGGTAACTGAGGCACAGAGAAGCAAAGAGGCAGAACTAAGATCTGAACCTTTAACTATTCTGCTTCTTCCTGAGCACTGAGGGGCCGGGACCCTGTCATTCTTGCTGCTGTCTCCTCACCGCCAGGTGTGGGGTCTGTTACAGAGAATCCGGTGAGAAAACCCGAGGCCCCCTGGAGGCTGGGCAGTCCGCTCCTGCTCGGCTCTGCCATATCCCGACCTCCAGGCCCCCACCTGGGACCCGGAAGCTGGGGCCCAGATCCCCGTGCCCCGCTATTGCCCGGAGCAGCCCAGACCACAGCACCTCGGGGAAGGAGCAACAGAAAGAGGCCTCGCTGGGAGGTACCGTTTACTGGGCTGTCTGCAGTCAACGGGACAGCCCTGGGGATACCCGGCTGCAGGTGCCTCCCGCTCCAGGGGGTGTGCAGGCAGATGGAGGGAGGTGGGTCGAGGGGCGCCCACTGCCTTTGGAGGGGCCGAGGTCTCCGCTGCAGCCCCTCCCTCGAGGCTCCCAAGGACAGCAGCCTCAGACTCGGGGGGGGGCTGGCCCCTGCACCCCTCTCGCTCCCCGCTCCCTGAAGAGTCAGCCAGTCAGGGTTCCTGGAAGAGTCGGCCAGGAGGTTTCCGAGGTGGGGGCGGCGGCTGGGCCAGGCCCCCAAGGCGCCCCCGGCCACCTCCACGGCCAGTCCAGAGTCAGCAGCACCGTGTCTGCCCACACTTGACCCTTCCTGGGAGCGGCATCTGGAGGGCCCTGTAGTCCCGGGCTTGGCCTGAGTCCGGGTCAACTGGAGAGGAGGGGCTGACGCTCCGAGGAGGTGGCCGTGTCCCTGTACACCAGGAACTGTATGGAGATCTGGAGGGGCCAACATCAAGGCCAAACCGAGCAGAGGCTGGGACGGACGTGCCCCTGGGGGCCTTGGCTCCCTCCGGACTGCTCCCCTCT